TTGTGTATAAATCCAACAAAAATCATGTTAGGAAGTGCTACTGTGTGAAATCACTTCACTATTGATATATCTAAAACTGATATTTGCTGAGAGGCCATAAAAATAACTGCCCATGTGCTTTCTGTAAATCTTAAACTAATATGATAGGTTTAGAATTGTACATAACAGTACCTCAATTTTAATAAATTAATGTAAACTTGTAAAGATTTAAAAAATCATACATCAAATGCTAACCATGACTATCACTGGGAGTTTACAGTTGATTTTGGGTTTGTTTTTGTTTTCTTTTACTTTATACCTTAGTCTCTGTACATTTTTCACACAAAACATGTTATTTAAAAAGGAAAAATTATATTTTTTGAAATAAATTATCAGAAATTTTTTCATCTTTCTTTGTAAGGACCATTAAACCTTAAATATATAAAGAGTCTTAGAAGTTTTAAAGTATCGTGCATCCATTATCTTATTCTAGGCACACAACAGCCTGATTTATTTATTTATTTGGCTGCACCAGGTCTGAGTTGACGCATCCAAGGGCCTGACCTGGGATCGAACCCAGGCCTGCTGCACTGGGCATCCTCTAAAAGGATGTATCAATTTTGTGTATAAATCCAACAAAAATCATGTTAGGAAGTGCTACTGTGTGAAATCACTTCACTATTGATATATCTAAAACTGATATTTGCTGAGAGGCCATAAAAATAACTGCCCATGTGCTTTCTGTAAATCTTAAACTAATACGATAGGTTTAGAATTGTACATAACAGTACCTCAATTTTAATAAATTAATGTAAACTTGTAAAGATTAAAAAAATCATACATCAAATGCTAACCATGACTATCACTGGGAGTTTACAGTTGATTTTGGGTTTGTTTGTCTTCTTTTACTTTATACCTTAGTCTCTGTACATTTTTCACACAAAGCATGTTATTTAAAAAGGAAAAATAATATTTTTTGAAATAAATTATCAGAAATTTTTTCATCTTTCTTTGTAAGGACCATTAAACCTTAAATATATAAAGAGTCTTAGAAGTTTTAAAGTATCGTGCATCCATTATCTTATTCTAGGCACACAACAGCCTGTGAGAAAGATATTACAGAGCGCCAACTCTCACTTACAGATAAGGGAAATGAAGGCCAGGGGTTAGCTGACTTTCCAGGATGGCTGGGGACATAAGAGTCAGAGCTTGAAGAACATATCTGGTGCCACGGGGTCCCTATATCCCAACACTCAGATTATATATGAGATACATTACACCGATGGTTTTCATATCTCTTTAAACTAAGTCATAAGTCCATGTTCACAACATAATTTTTTTGTATTCCATTCCTGAGTGTAACACACTAAGAATCAAGCAGATGTTTAATAAACATTTAAAATTAACTTACAGCAATCCCTTTCTCTTTGTATATTTTAAAACTCATTTACCTATGCAGCTTAATAAATTTGCTAAAGAACTGACAGCACTTTAATTAATTTTTTCTTTACACTATTTTCCAAAGTTTGAAACTCTGGGGTTTTAAATATATGTGTGTGTGTGTACACACTATCTTGACTATCCACACAGTTTTAGGGGAAAGGATATAAGAAAAGAATAACATGAATATTCACTAAGCAGTTTATAAAGAGTACCACCTAGAAAGGGCAAACTGCCACTGCATCAGTGCCAGTGAAGAGAGGGAGAGAGGAAGGCTGGTATCCTTCATCCAGCCATTTCCCCGGGCTAGTGCCAGAGTGAGATCAGCAGTCAAGACTAATGGAGTTCTAAGGGACAGTCCCAAGATGCCTGATAGAGAAGGGGGAAATGAAGAGACAAACATCCCAAGATGCCAGGATGAACAGGATATTACCTAGAGTTTCCAAGTTCCTTTCCTGGGTTGCTCATTTGTTCTAAGGAATCCACATCAGCAGAGTCACTGCAAACATAGATGAGTCAAGTAGAAAAAGGTGCCCCTTTCTCCCACCAGACATGATCTTGACCAAAACTCATAGTTCAGTGAGTGGACTGGGGTTTGTAATATACCCCCTCTTGCTCCCTGACCAGGGACTCAGACAGTAAGCAACCTGCACAGCTGTACGCCACAGCCCTGCATATGAACTGGAAATAGAATCAAGCTGAGTCAGCTTCTACCTAGAAGATATTTTTGACTCCTTGCCAAAAAAGTATGTTTTTGTTTAACAAATAGCACATATACACACCTATCTGATATGTAACAAAAACAAAGAAATGATTTATAGAAGTCAGAGGTAAATGAATTTCCAGTTTAAAATGAAAACAGATACCCACTTCATACAGTATAGTAATAACAAATAAGATAATACACATCATGCACATAGCACAAAGCCTGGTGTGACTCATTCCGTAAAATATTGGTTCTCTGCCATTTCCCTTGAAACTATTTAGATAAGCTGCTGTTACAGTGGTAATTCTTTAAAAATCCAACTCTTTATTGCCATAAATTGCAAAGCTTTCATATTTTCCCACTTAGGAACAAACTATACTCCCTCCCTCACTATCATCCTCTCTACCAAGTACGTTTTAGAGTAGCAGGCGGCATGCCATAGACTCTGAACCCATCTGGAAGAACTGTAAATTAGTTTTGTATGATATGTTAGTACAAAACTCAAAGCCAGCTCTGACTTTACTATAATAAAACTAAAATTTGGCCTATGTTTGCAAAAATTTTGCCAGCATTTGCTATGGGTCTGTGATTGTCATTAATCCATAGATATGAACCCATCTCAAAGGTGAAAGATTCCAGATCTGCTGAGAGCTGAGCAAAAAAGTCAGGCATATATCCTAAATGTCACTTTGAACACCGTCCCCCCAAAATATGAAAAGCTGATGCGCAACACTGTGCAGGGAAAATGTGCAGAGTCACATCTTTGAATGAATTTGGGTCACAGTCCTTCCTGTATGCAGTGCTATCTCTTCCAGATGAACCACAGAAACGGACCAGTTGTTGTGAATCTTACCATGTCTTCTGGGGCAGCCATGAGCTCTCTCCTTCCCTATGGCTTTCTAGTTTAAAAAATAATAATAATAAATGTGTAGAGAATTCACTTGCCATATCTTCACCATATTAAAAGGCAGGGTAAGAAGACAGCATGTACTGTTAATTTGCTCAGTCCTGCCCTTGATTACCACAGTGGCACAGAGTGACACTGTTTCCAAAATAGTTTTCATCTTCTATCCAAGGTTGCAGCCCTCTCCAAACTTCTGAACCCTGGAATCTCAGAAGTAGGCAATGACCCCCAAGGTGTATGTTTATATTTTATTAAAATGTCATATAGCCAGATTTTTCTGACCTGGTATAGCTTTAACCAGAGACAATTTCTAGATGATGAAACTCAAGGCAATGACCTAACATGCGGTATTTTAATAAACAGGAAATTGTACAAATCAGAGAACTACTACCATAAAGACAAGTTTGAAAGTAATAGAGGACACAGTACAGAATGTAGGTAAAATACTAGAATTAGGCAACCCACATCTGAATGAAAATGTATACAAAATAACAGAGTACAAGTATTTTAACTAGGGAAACAAAAATAGACTCTTTTAAGAACACAGAGGGCTTCCCTGGTGGATTAGACCGTAAAGAATTAACCTGCAAGGCAGGAAACCTGGGTTCAATCCCTGGGCTGGGAAGATCCCCTGGAGCAGGAAATGGCAACCCACTCCAGTAATCTTGCCTGGAGAATGCCACGGACAGAGGGGCCTGGCAGGCTGCAGTCTATGGGGTCACAATGAGTTAGACACAGCTGAGTGACTAACACACAAGAACACATCAGGGGAGGGAAAGATAAGAGAAAACAAATTAAGTTCTCTTTGGGTTTTTCTGAGACCAGATCATCCAAGGTACCGAGTAGAGAGCAGAACAAAGGACTCCCCTGATGGTCCAGCGATCAGAACACTGGCTTCCACTATAGGGGGCAAAGTTTGATCCCTGGTTGGAAAACTAAGACTATGCATGCTGCCTGGCAGAGCCAAAAAATAGAAAAATAAAATTTTTTAAAAAAAAGGAGAGGAAAACAGGACTCAAGCTTTGCTTCCATCCTTCAACTCTTACCCAACATTGTATATTCCCACCATCTGGTTGACTTTTAGTTCTCATGAAGGACACAAGTGTCTCTTTTCAAACAACTGCAAATCTCAAATCTCATCTGCACTCACAACAATAGATAAGCAGTGACCACTACTGTGATGCTTAAAAAAAAATAGTTTCAAAAATAAATATATAAATAATCTTAATTAAATCTCATTGCATGTGACTCATTTGCCCTGCCATACACGTTAAACCCCAAATCTAGGTCAGCTCATTGTTTTGTAATCCACAGGTCCTAGCCCGGGACCTTGAGTAAACAAAATGTGTCAATATTTATTCATCTATTTTCCCCACAGCCATACATTTTCCTAAATTCAAAATTATCATTTAGTTAAGAACAAATTGAGAGCCATTTAAAATGCAGAAGAGAACAATTTCAGCACTGTTCTGTTTTCCCCCGCAATTATCTCTGCATTCATTCAGTACACAAGGGTAGGAATAAGGTACCTTGCTAAATGTCCCCAGGATACCAGAGTCAAGACAAGGTGTCTGCCCACTAGAATCTAGTTAGGGAGACAACACAGTGAGCAAATGATGGAAACAATGTTGTTTTTCACTGTTAGTAGTTTGGGCTCTAAAATGGTCTAGAAAGAGGGTGGTAGTGGATTCTAGATCAGGAATTGGCTTCCTTCTGCAGATTCAGGACCTTGGGGTTTCGAGGGGAGATATGATCACAGAAATGTGCTAGCTGTGTAAATGTACATGGTCTTCATGACTCAGGGATTTTATCAATTTCAAGATTGATCCCCATGCACATGGCAGATGCTCTATACTTACTGCTCAAAACAAAGGTGGGCCAAGACTGACAACTACTGAGCTATAAGCTCTTGTGAGGGAGTGATGATAGTCTGACTCTTTACGATCTCACCAACTGTAGACTGCCAGGTTCCTCTGTCCATGGAGTTCTCCAGGGAAGAACACTGAAGTGAGTAGCCATTCCCTTCTCCAGGGGATCTTCACCACCCAGAGATTGAACCCAGGTCTCCTGCATTCCAGGCAGATTCTTTACCATCTGAACCATCAGGCAAGCCTCTCTGAGTGGGCTATAAAAGCAAAAATATGGACAATGACTACTTTTCTTAATAAACAATCCAGCTTCCCAGTTAGCCTTCTCAGGGTACCCTAAGAGTCAGGCAGGCCCAAGGCAACCTCACTATACCATGTGAATTCCAAGAGACAGTCCACTAAAATATAGGCTAGGAAGATAGAGTATTGGCTGAATTATCTCTGCACTATTCCCAAGTCCTAGACAAAGTCTGAAGCATAGTGCCCTAAAGAAGTTTGTTAGGTGAATAAATAAATTAATGAATCAAGATAGGACCTAAAGCATGGCTCTAAAGTGAAGACATTAAACATAGAACAGAGGTCACACAAAGTATAAAGAGTCTTCTATCTTATCTATTCAAATTGAAATTTACACCACCCCCCCTTAAAAAGGAACTTGGTCCAATACAGTCCTTGGTATTGACCTTTTCTCTTGGAATGAATGAGAAGAGAAATTAGAGCTCTCCCTAGAGTGGGAATATGTGCAATAAATTTATTTTAAAAGTATGCTTAAAGTATTGCTGGGAATACAGTAGAAAACAGGAGAATACACTTCCTTCATTCAGCCTTAGGCCTAAAGAAGGCTTCTTGGAAGTGGGGTCATTTGAGCTATTTACATTCCATGTGAACCACAAACCCCGCTCTTTAGAAGTACTTTGCTCTTGGACTTAAAGCGGATAGCAATGAGAAAGATGACTTCATACTTTCCCTTATGAAAGAAAGAAAAAAACAAATGACAACAATAAAATTATCACAGGCATCAGAGACTATTTCCTGATGATCTAACACTTAACTATGTATGCTAGCAGCTTAGTCAATGATTCAAGAATAAAGAAAAAAAATTAAGAAAGAAAATATGGCAGAGAATATGGATTTGGAATTTAACTCTGCTTGTGAGTCTATTGTGAAAGAATGAGAGCTACTTTTCCTTATCTTCATCTCAAGGGAAAAGCAAGGATTTGTAACCCAGATGTCAACCAAAGGAAGAGAGTTTCAGATGTTTAGATTTTCAAAGTAAACAACTGAATCATTCAAGACATGGAAAGTTCAGAAGTTTCTGAATGACATGACTCTATCCTAGTGGACCCTATGCCCAGGCAATGTGGGAGTGCTAGTGAGGTAACATGAAATGATAGCTGCTCAGTCATGCCTGACTCTTTGCAACCCCGTGGACTGTAGCCTGCCAAGTTCCTCTGTTCATGAATTCTCCAGGCAAGATTACTGGAGTGGGTTGCCACTTCCTTCTCCAGGGGATCCCCCTGACCCAGGGATCCTGCATTGCAGGCAAGTCTTTACCATCTGAGCCACCAGGGAAGCCTACTATTAAGAGACATTTCTTTTTTTTTTTCTTTTTTTCATTTATTTTTATTAGTTGGAGGCTAATTACTTTACAATATTGTAGTGGTTTTTGCCATACATTGACATGAATCAGCCATGGATTTACATGTGTTCCCCATCCCGATCCCCCCTCCCACCTCCCTC